ATTCTTCGATATTTGAGGTCACAGTTGGATACCGTCTTTTTGAACAAATTACTTTCAAAACGGAACATTAGAACAAGAGGCCGATATTGTTACTTTTTTGTATTTAATCAATATAATTGCATGAATCTTTTTTGCCCGATAAGGTAGCCGATTCTACATTTCGCCAAAAATTGTTTTCCTCGGGAGACGAGAATTGTGTATATAGATGTGAAGATTCGGTCATGATTGATGCGGCAAAAAATTTCTAACAAGAGATCACGAGTGTTTTGTTGTAAAGGGTCTACAAGAGAAATGCAATTAAAGTTTTTTTTTTAAGCCCCACCTAGGGGAATTATATTTTTTCGGTCTGTGTGTCCGTTCGTTCGTCTGTTCGTCCTTCCGTCCGTCAGTCTGTCCCGTGTCAGGTTAAACTTGAAACTTAGTACACATGTTCCCTATGATATGATCTTTCTAATTTTAATGCCAAATTAGAGTTTTTGCCCCCAATTTCACGGTCCACTGAACATAGAAAATGATAATGGGAGTGGGGCATCCGTATACTATGGACACATTCTTGTTTAAACCTGATTTATGCTTATAAATTGGTAAATACTAAGTACTTAAGTATACATAAGATTGGACCAAATCTAATTTTATTTGATATAAGAACGCCAAAGTGAAACTCAGGGCTCATAGCCATTGCGAAGAACACCTTAATAATCTAAACTTATTTATTTTCAAAGATATTGCTTTGACCTGTAATGGTTTTCTTTTCCAAATTGTGACTTGGATGGAGAGTTGTCTCATTGGCACTCATACCACATCTTCTTATATCTATTTATTCAACCAACGACGGCGTTTGGGAGTAAACGTAGAATAACTTTAACATGGTTAGAGTAAAATTTCATAGTGTTGACACAAATCAAGAATTTATAGTTTCTGATAGCTAGATGTTTCTTTAAACTCAGTTTAAACAATAATAGGAATTGGTCATTTTAAATGTCCATTCCACATCCGCTGCAAGAATTTACTATATTTTATCCGAAATTTAAAGGACACAACTCCATAGAATTATAGTTTTTGTTAACTATGAGTTCATAAGTTTAAATTGAAAAGAACCATTGCCTTGATTTCTCTTTGTTTTTAGGGGGAGGGGTGTATGTGTTGTTATGTTGCTTTCTCGTTGACATTTTCCCAAAATTTCGATAATCAAAGCCGAAGTATTTTTTTTTCAGAACATAGGCTACGATCATGGCCTAAGTAAGGGGGCTTTCAAGGTTCAGCACTGATCTAGTTAAATACTTCGATAAATACTAAAAGGATATCCCTGTTTAGTCATACTTTCACATACGACGTCTGCTTGAAGCGATGATATACCATCTTTTGATTTTTGTCTGATCGATCTTTGTTTCCATCTAGCCAGCTAGTGGATGGTCTCAGTGAACGAATTATTAACTATAACCAACAAAAGGGTTTTCAATTGAAATGTTGGTTTTTTTATGAATACTATTTCAACTTAAATTTTAAAAAATGACAATAAAATGAAAAGCTCAAGATCTTCAAGAAAAAATAAATTGTAGGATGAAATACAGTATATATCTGTTCGCAAAGGAACATTGGAAATCTGATCAAAAAGTTAACTTTCCTGCAATCAGCCATTTTTCTATACAAATAATGGTTCTGAATATTATATTATATTCGTACATTATTAAGACTGTATGTTGAATTCTATCCGTATGTTCTTTTTTCTTTTCAGGTGTTGGGTTGTTGTCCTATTACTCCGCCTACATCTCCTTTTATTCAAAAAAAAAAAGGATTAAGCAGAACGAATGACACAGAATTTATACTAAATCATTGACAAGCAAAATTGAAAAAAAAATTGCTGTCAAATGAAAAATTTGGAATTGCAACCAATGTCTTATGACGCCATAGCAAAAAAATGAATTCGATTGCTGGAACAACATCCGAAACAAGACAGTAGGCTCTCAAAACGTTTCCCCAGTACTGCGTTTAATGATTGATTGCCGGGTTTTCGAGTTTCGATCCTTGCTTGAAAGTTGTTGCTACATGGTCGAAAAGGAATTAATTGAACTAACTGCAACAAGTTGGTTATCCAATAAAACAACATTATTAAGAAAACATACCACATCCTTTTTGAAAAAAAATCTTTGTGTATTTTGTAGAAACGCCATGGAGCAAGAATACCAGGAGAGATTATGCTACATTTGATGATGTAGACAAAAAAGGAAAAGAGTAAGTTTTATGTAGTTTTCATCAAAAAGGATAGAATATGAGACTATATCAAAATATTTACTGAGTAAATAAGATCTAAATTTAAAAAAATCTGCAAAATACAGCTTTGAATGCATTGTCGTGAACTAAAGCAAGCTTCCACGCCTCTGAATTTTCAACCTATGTGATTCCTATATAACCTTAAAAAAAGGAACGGGGATGATTGGCACCAACATAAGGCGAGAATCAAACAAAAATGGTTACATTTAAGGTTTAATGATTTGATAGAAAAAAAAAAAAATTGTACAACAACGTGGCATAGTAATCTGACTTTTGACTGTAAGTCATTCGGTAACATGCAAAAAAATGTTATATTATCAGTAACCAATTATACTTTGTCCTCTTTTCAGGTTCTTATGGATTTGTTAGTACTGTCACGGAATGCTTATGTTGTCAGAATATTTTATATGCACGTTACAGTCATGTAAAACATGGAGTAACAAAAACAAACACAAAGACTAATTAAAATGACAAATTTTGAAGACAAGAAAGTATGTCAGAATAAGTATAAGACAAAACAACTACGTACTGCAACACAGATCCTTTATACCAATGTTCATGGTATTTAGATGTGATAAGAAAAAGAAAGTTTATCAGAAATTTTCGCTTATCTTGCTCGAGAGAAAACAATTTATCGGCTCCACGTGTCCGTAATATTCCTAAGTAAAAATGTCCATGTCCTTTATTTTACAAGGAAATTTTTTGAACTGAGAGGAATCGTACACAATTGGATATTTAAATGATCAGTTTAAAAAAAACAGCTGTACGTCAATCTTTCAGCATTTTTAATATGGGTGCTTTTAAAAATAATAACAATGGACTTTTTTTCCCTAGGAAAATTGATACCGGGTATCACAGACTTTAATGAATTCTATTACTTTAAAAAAAAATGTGTTTCTTTGATGAAATAATTATACAAAAAAAATTCTCCGTGACCATAATTTACTAGAAAAGCAAGTCCGTAGAAAATATTAACAATTGGAAAATAAGGGCCAGACATATTTTACTAGCTATGGACTTATTTTCCTAGGAAAATTTATCCTGGGACTTATTTTTCTAGTAAAATTATGGTCATGGACTTGATAACCAAATGTTACTACCGGACAGAATTTACTGTTACATATATACGTCCGTGATATATACATCCATATCTAATTTAGTAGTGTCAATTCTTATATAGTGACTAAGTTCAGATGTGATTGTGACCCATGTACATAGCATAAATCCCAAATACGCCATTAGTAGTGAGCCTTCCTGACAGAGGCATATTACATATAAGGTAACAGGTTTATATGTAATAAACCATTGTTTAAGGCGATATAATCTGGTAACTTAACCTGATGTATTTCAGCCTATTTTGAAATTGCTAATTATTTTTCATTTGTAGAAATCCCGTAGAAAATATTACACCTAAGGTGCAACTTTCGACCGAGAAGACACAAGAAAGAAGTAGGTTGAAAAAAAGACTATTGTACATTCGTCGATATTTGAGGTTACAGTTGCATACCGTCTTTTTGAACAAATTACTTTCAAAAGGGAACATTAGAACAGGAGGCCGATATTGTTACTTTTTTGTATTTAATCAATATAATTGCATGATCCTTTTTTGCCTGCAATCAGCCATTTTTCTATACAAATAATGGTTCCGAAATAAATTTATGTTTTATTCGTATATTTTGAAGACTGTTGAATTCTGTACGTATGTTCTTTCTTTTTTGGAGTTGTTGGGTTGTTGTCCTGTTTACCTCCGCCTACATCTCTTTTTAATTCGAAAAAAGGATTAAGCAGAACGAATGACACAGAATTTAAAAGTAAATCATTGACAAGCAAAATTGAAAAAAAAAAAATTGCTGTCAAATGAAAAATTTGGAATTGCAATTAATGTCATATGACGCCATAGCAAATAAAGGAATTCAATTGCTGGAACAACATCCGAAACAAGACAGTAGGCTCTCCGAACTTTTCCCAAGTGCTGCGTTTAACGATTGATTGCCGGGTTTTCGAGTTTCGATCCTTGCTTGAAAGTTGTTGCTACATGGGCGAAAAGGAATTAATTAAACTAACTGCAACAAGTTGGTTATCCAATAAAACAACATCATAAAGATAACATACCACATCCTTTTTTAAAAAATTTTTTGTGTGTATTTTGTAGAATTGCCATGGAGCAAGAGTACCAGAAGAGATTATGCTACATTTGATGATGTAGACAAGAAAGAAAAAGAGTAAGTTTTATGTAGTTTTCATCAAAAAGGATAGAATATGAGACTATGTCAAAATATTTACTGAGTAAATAAGATCTAAATTAAAAAAAATCTGCAAAATACAGCTTTGAATGCACTGTCGTGAACTAAAGCAAGCTCCCACGCCCCTTAATTTTCAACCTATGTGATTCCTATATAACCTTAAAAAAAGGAACGGGGAGGATTGGCACCAACATAAGGCGAGAATCAAACGAAAATGGTTACATTTAAGGTTTAATGATTTGACAGAAAAAAAAAAAAAATTGTACAACAACATGGCACAGTAATCTGACTTTTGACTGTAAGTCATTCGGTAACACGCAAAAAAATGTTATATTATCAGTAACCAATTATACTTTGTCCTCTTTTCAGGTTCTTATGGATTTGTTAATACTGTCACGGAATGTTTATGTTGTCATAATATTTTATATGCACGTTACAGTCATGTAAAACATGGAGTAACAAAAACAAACACAAAGACTTATTAAAATGACAAATTTTGAAGACAAGAAAGTATGTCAGAATAAGTATAAGACAAAACAACTACGTACTGCAACACAGACCCTTCATACCAATGTTCATGGTATTTAGATGTGATAAGAAAAAGAAAGTTTATCAGAAATTTTCGCTTATCTTGCTCGAGAGAAAACAATTTATCGGCTCCACGTGTCCGTAATTTTCCTAAGTAAAAATGTCCATGTCCTTTATTTTACAAGGAAATTTTTTGAACTGAGAGAAATCGTACACAATGGGATATTTAAATGATCAGTTTAAAAAAAAACAGCTGTTCGTCAATCTTTCAGCATTTTTAATATGGGTGCTTTTAAAAATAATAACAATGGACTTTTTTTCCCTAGGAAAATTGATACCGAGTATCACAGACTTTAATGAATTCTATTACTTAAAAAAAAAATGTGTTTCTTTGATGAAATAATTATACAAAAAAAATTCTCCGTGACCATAATTTACTAGAAAAGCAAGTCCGTAGAAAATATTAACAATTGGAAAATAAGTGCCAGACATATTTTACCAGCTATGGACTTATTTTCCTAGGAAAATTTATCCTGGGACTTATTTTTCTAGTAAAATTATGGTCATGGACTTGATAACCAAATTTTACTACCGGACAGAATTTACTGTTACATATATACGTCCGTGATATATACATCCATATCTAATTTAGTAGTGTCAATTCTTATATAGTGACTAAGTTCAGATGTGATTGTGACCCATGTACAAAGCATAAATCCCAAATACGCCATTAGTAGTGAGCCTTCCTGACAGAGGCATATTACATATAAGGTAACAGGTTTATATGTAATAAACCATTGTTTAAGGCGATATAATCTGGTAACTTAACCTGATGTATTTCAGCCTATTTTGAAATTGCTAATTATTTTTCATTTGTAGAAATCCCGTAGAAAATATTACACCTAAGGTGCAACTTTCGACCGAGAAGACACAAGAAAGAAGTAAGTTGAAAAAAAGACTATTGTACATTCGTCGATATTTGAGGTTACAGTTGCATACCGTCTTTTTGAACAAATTACTTTCAAAAGGGAACATTAGAACAGGAGGCCGATATTGTTACTTTTTTGTATTTAATCAATATAATTGCATGAACCTTTTTTGCCTGCAATCAGCCATTTTTCTATACAAATAATGGTTCCGAAATAAATTTATGTTTTATTCGTATATTTTGAAGACTGTTGAATTCTGTACGTATGTTCTTTCTTTTTTGGAGTTGTTGGGTTGTTGTCCTGTTTACCTCCGCCTACATCTCTTTTTAATTCGAAAAAAAAGGATTAAGCAGAACGAATGACACAGAATTTAAAAGTAAATCATTGACAAGCAAAATTGAAAAAAAAAATTGCTGTCAAATGAAAAATTTGGAATTGCAACCAATGTCATATGACGCCATAGCAAATAAAGGAATTCAATTGCTGGAACAACATCCGAAACAAGACAGTAGGCTCTCCGAACTTTTCCCAAGTACTGCGTTTAACGATTGATTGCCGGGTTTTCGAGTTTCGATCCTTGCTTAAAAGTTGTTGCTACATGGGCGAAAAGGAATTAATTAAACTAACTGCAACAAGTTGGTTATCCAATAAAACAACATCATAAAGAAAACATACCACATCCTTTTTAAAAAAAAATTTTTTGTGTATTTTGTAGAATTGCCATGGAGCAAGAGTACCAGAAGAGATTATGCTACATTTGATGATGTAGACAAGAAAGAAAAAGAGTAAGTTTTATGTAGTTTTCATCAAAAAGGATAGAATATGAGACTATGTCAAAATATTTACTGAGTAAATAAGATCTAAATTAAAAAAAATCTGCAAAATACAGCTTTGAATGCACTGTCGTGAACTAAAGCAAGCTCCCACGCCCCTGAATTTTCAACCTATGTGATTCCTATATAACCTTAAAAAAAGGAACGGGGATGATTGGCACGCAAAAAAATGTTATATTATCAGTAACCAATTATACTTTGTCCTCTTTTCAGGTTCTTATGGATTTGTTAATACTGTCACGGAATGCTTATGTTGTCATAATATTTTATATGCACGTTACAGTCATGTAAAACATGGAGTAACAAAAACAAACACAAAGACTTATTAAAATGACAAATTTTGAAGACAAGAAAGTATGTCAGAATAAGTATAAGACAAAACAACTACGTACTGCAACACAGACCCTTCATACCAATGTTCATGGTATTTAGATGTGATAAGAAAAAGAAAGTTTATCAGAAATTTTCGCTTATCTTGCTCGAGAGAAAACAATTTATCGGCTCCACGTGTCCGTAATATTCCTAAGTAAAAATGTCCATGTCCTTTATTTTACAAGGAAATTTTTTGAACTGAGAGAAATCGTACACAATGGGATATTTAAATGATCAGTTTAAAAAAAAACAGCTGTTCGTCAATCGTTCAGCATTTTTAATATGGGTGCTTTTAAAAATAATAACAATGGACTTTTTTTCCTTAGGAAAATTGATACCGGGTATCACAGACTTTAATGAATTCTATTACTTTAAAAAAAATGTGTTTCTTTGATGAAATAATTATACAAAAAAAATTCTCCGTGACCATAATTTACTAGAAAAGCAAGTCCGTAGAAAATATTAACAATTGGAAAATAAGTGCCAGACATATTTTACCAGCTATGGACTTATTTTCCTAGGAAAATTTATCCTGGGACTTATTTTTCTTGTAAAATTATGGTCATGGACTTGATAACCAAATTTTACTACCGGACAGAATTTACTGTTACATATATACGTCCGTGATATATACATCCATATCTAATTTAGTAGTGTCAATTCTTATATAGTGACTAAGTTCAGATGTGATTGTGACCCATGTACAAAGCATAAATCCCAAATACGCCATTAGTAGTGAGCCTTCCTGACAGAGGCATATTACATATAAGGTAACAGGTTTATATGTAATAAACCATTGTTTAAGGCGATATAATCTGGTAACTTAACCTGATGTATTTCAGCCTATTTTGAAATTGCTAATTATTTTTCATTTGTAGAAATCCCGTAGAAAATATTACACCTAAGGTGCAACTTTCGACCGAGAAGACACAAGAAAGAAGTAAGTTGAAAAAAAGACTATTGTACATTCGTCGATATTTGAGGTTACAGTTGCATACCGTCTTTTTGAACAAATTACTTTCAAAAGGGAACATTAGAACAGGAGGCCGATATTGTTACTTTTTTGTATTGAATCAATATAATTGCATGAACCTTTTTAGCCTGATAAGGTAGCCGACACTACATTTCGCCAAAAATTGTTTTCCTCGGGAGACGAGAATTGTGTATAAAGATGTGAAGATTCGGTCATGGTTGATGGGGCAATAAATGTCTAACAAGAGATCACGAGTGTTTTGTTGTAAGAACAAGAAAAATGCAATTAAAGTTGTTTTTTGTATGCCCCACCTAGGGGAATTATATTTTTCGGTCTGTGTGTTCGTTCGTTCGTCCGTTCGTCCGTCCGTCCGTCAGTCTGTCCCGTTTCAGGTTAAAGTTTTTGGTCAAGGTAGTTTTTATGAAGTTGAAGTCCAATCAACTTGAAACTTAGTACACATGTTTCCTATGATATGATCTTTCTAATTTTAATGCCAAATTAGAGTTTTTACCCCCAATTTCACAGTCCACTGAATACAGAAAATGATAGTGAGAGTGGGGCATCCGTATACTATGGACACATTCTTGTTTAAACCTGATTTATGCTTATAAATTGGTAAATACTTAGTACACAAGTGTACATTAGATTGGACCAAATCTAATTTAATTTGATATAAGAACGCCAAAGTGTAACTCAGGGCTCATAGCCATTGCGAAGAACACCTTAATAATCTAAACTTATTTATTTTTAAAGATATTGCTTTGACCTGTAATGGTTTACTTTTACAAATTGTGCCTTGGATGGAGAGTCGTCTCATTGGCACTCATACCACATCTTCTTATATCTATTTATTCAACCAACGACGGCGTTTGTGAGTAAACGTAGAATAACTTTAACATGATTAGAGTAAAATTTCATAGTGTTGACACAAATCAAGAATTTATAGTTTCTGATAGCTAGATGTTTGTTTAAACTCAGTTTAAACAATAATAGGAATTGGTCATTTTAAATGTCCATTCCACATCCGCTGCAAGAATTTACTATATTTTATCCGACATTTAAAGGACACAACTCCACAGAATTATAGCTTTTGTTAACTATGAGTTCATAAGTTTAAATTGAAAAAAACCAGTGCCTTGATTTCTCTTTGTATTTTAGGGGGAGGGGAGGGGTGTATGTGTTGTTATGTTACTGTCTCGTTGACATTTTTCCAAAATTTCGATTATCAAAGCCGAAGTTTTTTTTTCAGAACATGGGCTACGATCATGGCCTGAGTAAGGGGGGCTTTCAAGGTTCAGCACTGATCTAGTTAAATACTTCGATAAATACTAAAAGGATATCCCTGTTTAGTCTTTCACATAACACGTCCGCTTGAAGCGATGATATACCATCTTTGAATTTTGTCTGATCGATCTTTGTTTTCCATCTAGCCAGCTAGTGGATGGTCTCAGTGAACGAATTATTAACTATAATCAACAAAAAGGTCTTCAATTAAAATGTTCGTTTTTTATGAATACTATTTCAACTTAATTTAAAAAAAAAAACGGACAATAAAATGAAAAGCTCAAGATCTTCAAGAAAAAATAAATTGCAGGATGAAATACAGTATATATCTGTTCGCGAAGGAACATTGGAAATCTGAACAAAAAGTAAACTTTCCTGCAATCAGCCATTTTTTTATACAAATAATGGTTACGAAAAAAATTTATGTATATTTTGAAGACTGTTAAATTCTGTACGTATGTTCTTTCTTTTTTTGAGTTGTTGGGTTGTTGTACTGTTTACCTCCGCCTACATCTCTTTTTTATTCGAAAAAAAGGATTAAGCAGAATGAATGACACATAATTTTAAAGTTAATCATTGACAAGCAAAATTGAAAAAAAAATTGCTGTCAAATGAAAAATTTGGAATTGCAACCAATGTCATATGACGCCATAGCAAATAAAGGAATTCAATTGCTGGATCAACATCCGAAACAAGACAGTAGGCTCTCCGAACTTTTCCTCAGTACTGCGTTTAACGATTGATTGCCGGGTTTTCGAGTTTCGATCCTTGCTTGAAAGTTGTTGCTACATGGGCGAAAAGGAATTAATTGAACTAACTGCAACAAGTTGGTTATCCAATAAAACAGCATCATTAAGAAAACATACCACATCCTTTTTTGAAAAAAACTCTTTGTGTATTTTGTAGTAACGCCATGGAGCAAGAAGATCAGGAGAGATTATGCAACATTTGATGATGTAGATAAGAAAGGAAAAGAGTAAGTTTTTCGTAGTTTTCATCAAAAAGGAGAGAATATGAGACTATATGAAATTATTTACTGAGTAAATAGGATCTAAATTAAAAAAAAATCTGCAAAATACAGCTTTGAATACACTGTCGTGAACTAAAGCAACCTCTGAATTTTCAAGCTATGTGATTCCTATATAACCTTAAAAAAAGGAACGGGGATGATTGTCACCAACAAAAGGCAAGAAACAAATGACAATGGTTTTAAACCTTTAAAGTGCAATGATTTGATAGAAAAACAAATTAAATTGTACAACAAGGTGGCATAGTTATCTGACTTTTGACTAAGTCATTCGGTAACATGCTAAAATGTTATATTATCAGTAAACAATTATACTTTGTCCTCTTTTCAGGTTCTTATGGATTTGTTAATACGACCACGGCATGCTTATTTTGTCATAATATTTTATTAGCACGTTACAGTCATGTAAAACATGGAGACATATTTCAATTTTTAAAAAGTGCAATTTTTGTGTAAAGAATTATCTATTGACTTATCATTACGATGAAAGTAACTTTTAAAGGTAATTACTATTAAATAATTACACTGAGTATTGTTTCAGGTTGCTTGCCAACTGGAAGGTTTTAGTTGAAGAAAAGGAGCACGCTATCAAAACAACTTTTAAAAAACTATATAATATGCAGCCAAGCGAACTATCAGATAATAGAACCAGGCAAGAAATAGAACAACACATAGATTTTTATCAAGCTGACAGGCATGTTATGAAGAAATGCATGAACCATCTGCAAAATTCAATGAAAGACCGTCTAACCTACTTGAGAAAACAGAAAAAGTTTCTTCTATATTATCAGAATGCACTAGAAAATATTTTTAACGCAATTGAAAAAAGCGGACCATCAAGAATTCCAGATCCATTTCCAAAATTCATTCTTGATGTTAAACTCAATCATTACCATCTGTTCAACGAAGAACTTCTTATTTTATCCGACGAACGCACACACAAGAATGTAAGACGTTTGATAGAGCCTAACACTGTCAACATCGGAAGTATCAATGTATATATGGGAAGAACGGGCAGAGCAAATGTGATGACACCGATTCACGAAAATAAATTTGAATCAGACGAATGCTTTACAGGCCAGTGTTCCGACCCTTACTGTACATGCAATAGGTCTGACTCAGAACTTAGTTTTGTCAACCATGAACTTGATATTGAATGGCAGATATATGAAATTGCAGAAGATAGCAAACGAAATAAAAACATATCTGAAAAGGAGGCACTTACAAACGTGTTGCAGAAACAAGCTCAGAAATCAAAAACGCCAATTCCCGTTAAACTACCATCACAGTTAGCCTACAAGAAAATAAAAAACATGGACAAATCCTCCGCCACTCAACTGAAACTTCCACCACTGTTACCAAACAAAAAAATAAAGCACATGAATGAATCCTCCTCCGATCAACTGAAAATACCAACACTGTTTCCGAACAAAAAAATAAAACACATGAATAAATCCTCATCCGATCAACTGAAACTACCACCACTGTTACCAAACAAAAATATAAAATACGTGGACGAATCTTACTCCGCGCCTGTGAAATCATCAACATTGCTACGAAACAAGAAGATAAAATCCTGCTTGGAACCTCTGAAACTACCACCGTTGATGCCGGATCGACAGCAAAATTGCAAGGAAGAAAAATCCTTCACGAAACGCCCTGTTACTCCAAAAGTGCTTCAACCTTTAAAGATGTTGCCGCAAAACATGAAAAGGTCCTTAATCATAAATAAGGAAAGGGACGAACAGAAAGAGAAAAGCAAAGCCAAGTCAATGAAATCAAGGCCTAAATCAGCCTCGCGCCAGACTGTTGAGACAACAGCTTCTAATGAAATTTTAAATGTAGGCTCAGAATTATCTTTGGATATGATAAGCTGGAACAATGTGCCCCGTGAGAGAACTTACCGATATTCCAGGCTACACAAGGCATCGACTAAAGAGTGTTTTATCCCTAAGGGTCCAGATGATAAAGTCAGCAAAATCATTTCTGCTAAATACTTTAACACAAGAAAGGAAAATACGAAAGCCAGGAAGCAAATAGAAACAGAAAAATCGGATTGCTACCCAGAACCCGATCAATATCATACTATGCAGGATATGGAAGTCGCTGATAAATATGCGGACGAAGATACTTTTGACAAGCTTTACGACCATCATTCTACAACTGTTCAAACTGTAGGTAGTACCGTGAATGATTTTCAAGTTACGGCAAATCAATCTCTGTTGTCGGATTGCCATGTTATAAACAGTGGCTCTGAAAGAGAAATTAAGACGCGATTTCTTCCTATGCCACCTAAAACACCTAAACCAAAAACACCATACTCAAGACAAAATCAATACAACAGGAAATAAATATGATTATGATAATACATGTAGCATTTTACCAGAAACTTAAACAATGATGTTCTGATTGTGTTCTATCAATAAAAGAGCTATGATGCACACCTGTAAACCAGTTTTGCTAGTTCAAGTGAAACAGTTATGTTATAGGGATTCATCTTTCATTGTATATATCATGTAATATGGAACTTTCCTAATCTGTTTGAAGCAGCAAGTAATGACAAAATGGACTGAAACAAAGAGGAAGGACCAACTATATGAGTGGGAAGCATATATAGTGTTTAGGCATTACACTTTAGATGAACTATCTGTAATAACAGCAAAAGAAAAACAATCAACATAGAACTAATGTAGTTTTAGACTCAAATATTAGTACCCACTACTGTTCCCTTTGTTTCACTGTATAGATATAGCAACTAAATAAATAAGTATGATATGTTTTTTTCTTTGTTTATATTCAACAAGATCATTTTCTATTAACTAATTAGGTCAGTGGCGTAGCTAGCAAAAATGTTTATCGCAGGAGGTTTTGGAACCGCTAAAGGCTCACGGAAGCGCTTAACTAAATGATAGAAAATCCTGTTATCTGAATTTTTTCGAGGGCAACATGTTCAGTTCTGAACAAAGGTTTCTGAAAAATGTAAATTAAATATTAAGTCGAGCATTCATATAAATGTATGCAAATCATCACTAGTCACTAGACCTGAAACCACAATGCACGATTCTTGTTTCTTTATTATTATGAGGCTGACTTCATACAGGAACTTCTTAGGAAGAAAGATAAGAAGTTATCAATATCCTTTAACTTTACGTTCCGCTATATAGATGATGTTCTCTCACTAAATAATACAAAATTAGGTGATTATGTTGAACGAATCTATCCCATCGAACTAGAGATAAAGGATACTACAGATACAGTTAAGTCTGCCTCATATCTTGACTTACATCTAGAAATTGACAATGAGGGTCGGTTGAAAACAAAACTTTACGACAAAACTGATGATTTCAGCTTCCCAATTGTGAACTTTCCATTTCTATGTAGTAACATTCCAGCAGCGCCTGCATACGGAGTAAAGATCTCCCAATTGATACGATATTCCCAGGCTTGTATTTCCTATCATGATTTCCTTGATAGAGGATTGCTGCTCACAAGGAAGCTATTAAACCAAGAGTTCCAAATGGTGAAGTTGAAATCATCCCTTCGTAAATTTTACGGACGCCATCACGAGTTGGTTGACCGTTATGGAATAACCGTTTCACAGATGATATCGGATATGTTCCTTATGTCGTAACTACAATACCCTTCCTTTTTCACGAATGTGACCTACCGAATTAGACTATTTACCGGATTTGTAATAACATAAGCAACACGACGGGTGCAACATGTGGAGTAGGATCTGCTTACCCTTCCGGAGCACCTGAGATCACCCCCAGTTTTTGGTGGGGTTCGTGTTGCTTAGTGTTTAGTTTTCTATGTTGTGTCATCTGTACTATTATTTGTCTGTTTGTCTTTTTATTTTTGGCCATGGCGTTGTCAGTTTGTTTTCGATCTATGAGTTTGACTGTCCCTCTGGTATCTTTCGTCCCTCTCTTACAGTCTGGCAACTAAAAAGTAATTACAGATATTAATGTTAGAACAACACGGAACACATGCTATTAGAATTCCCTGTCTCATCGGTAATGGCATCATAACCTCAATGAATAAGTTGTTCATTCAAGGAAAAATTTGACGAAAAATGTCTTAGCATTGACACCAAGCATGGAAATAAGGCTTTTCCCAAACATTACATGTTGAAATTCAAAATAAAGTACCTTTTTGTTTTTAAGCAATTTTAACTTTCGTAACTACAATTGAAATAGACATATTCAGTAGTTTTCGTTTGTTGATGTGGTTCATAAGTGTTTCTCGTTTCTCGTCTTTTATATAGATTAGACCGTTGGTTTTCCCGTTTGAATGATTTTACACTAGTAATTTTTGGGGCCCTTTATAGCTTACTGTTTTGTGTGGCTCCGTGTTGAAGTCCGTACTTTGACCTATAATGGTTTACTTTTATAAATTTTGACTTCGATGGAGAGTTTTCTCATTGGCACTCATACCACATCTTCTTATATCTAGTGAAATAAATGATGCCCTTGTCTCAGCACACGTTTTTGTTTTCGCCGTTCGGTAAACAAAACCAACTTTCAGGAGCCTGTTGTTCAGTGGTTGTCGTTTGTTGGTGTGGTTCATAAGTGTTTCTCGTTTCTCGTTTTTTATATAGATTAGACCGTTGGTTTTCCTGTTTGAATTGGTTTACACTAGTCTTTTTGTGGCCCTTTATAGCTTGCTGTTCGGTGTGAGCCAAGGCTCTGTGTTGAAGGCCGTACTTTGACCTATAATTGTTTACTTTTTACACATTGTGACTTGGATGGATAGTTATCAAATTATCACTCATACCACAACTTCTTATTTATTTGTACTGTAGAAACACACATATAGAAATGGTTGTTTCCCTTTTGATAATTGTATTACAAAACTAACATACACTCAAATTTTTGACGATCATATGTTCAAAAAGTTTCATATTGTGTCAAGCAGCTGATGTGACGAAATATCCATATGATGTAAATCTGATTAGATATATATTTGATTATCTATTTTTCACATTGTAGGTTGCACTTCTGTAAATATAGACAATGCAATTTTCCAAAGGAACTCCTTTTACGGCTAAGACTGTGCAACTTTTACTGTGAAGTTTTGTAAATAATTATCATATCCTAGAATGGAAAGTTCTATTTTTTTCAACGATCAAAACATAGGGCTTTGCGGCATATTTTCAACATTTATATGCCTCGAACTTTAAGAGTTTAAACTTATACTGAAATTCTGTAATGCCCCACCCTTCACTTTGTGTCTTCCTCAGAATTTGGCCGCTATCCATGTTTATTCATACTGATAAAATTCCCAGGTTGTGTCTCTATATGAGATGAAACAAAGAGATCATATCTGGTAACTAGCAGGTAAACAAAACAAAATATCTATGAATATTATATATCTCCGAAAATTAGGTGTGGTTTTGAAACAGCTGTATTTACAAAGTGCAACCTGTATTTGTTTTTCATGATAGATATTAGTGTTGTTTTTTTCTTTTAAAGCAAACCGGAGAAGGACTTGAAATATTCGAGTCAAACTTAACAAACGGCGGGTCAAACATTATGACGTGAGTGGTTATACGGGTTAACGTTTAATTACAGTGAAAGATCGGGCTACTATATTTGACGTCCCAAGGCTTTATGACAGTTGATCAAAGTGATACAGGCGGAGGGAGATGAAAGAAATCTAATTTTAAAAATGTTGTGTAAATCATATAAAACT